GCAGTCGCAGTCGACCGAGGTGGTGGCTCTGCGGACGATCGTCTCGGCGACGAAGACGACCCCCGATAGAATGCATGCGCGGCTTGCCCACGTCAGCGTCGACACGATCAAGAGCTCAGCGAAGCATGATGTTGCTGCTGGGCTCGACATCACGCTGTCAACCGGAGCAGACCCGCCATGTGTCTCGTGCGTCGGAGGAAAGCTGGCGCGGCACATCTTCCCTGCCACGGGCTCGGATGCAGCGGAGGCGCTGGCTGTCGTGCACATTGACTTGTGCGGGCCATTTCGAGTGGCTGCCAAGGATGGCAGCTTGTACTTCCTGCTGCTAAAGGATCGCCATACTCGATTTGTATGGTCAATGCCGGTCGCCAAGAAGAGCGATGTGCTGCGGGAGTTCCAGCGGTGGCTAGTGCTGGTGGAACGGCAGACGAAGAAGTCGGTGCTGTCGTTTCGCTCCGATCGAGGAGGGGAGTTCCTCGGGAAGGCGTTCACCGACTTCGTCGACGGGAAGGGCATCGTCCACGACCTGACGTGCCCCTACACTCCGCAGCAGAATGGCATGGCTGAGCGGGAGATGCGCACGGCCGTCGAGTCCGTGCGGACGATGTTGCTGCACATGGGCGTACAGCACCATTGGTGGCACCTTGCTCTAGGACAAGCTGTCTGGGTGCGCAAATGCTTGGAGCGGTCGACGACGCCGCCAGGGACGACTCCGTACCAGCTGCTAACCGGGCAGAAGCCCGACCTTACGCTGGCGCGGGTGTGGGGCTGCATGGTGCAGTTCATGATTCCCGAGCAGCAGCGTGGTGGGAAGCTGGCGCCGAAGGCTCGCTGGGGACTTCACCTGGGTGTGTCGCCAGCAAGCAAGGGCTGGGAAGTGCTCGACCTGACCGACAACAAGGTGGTCACGTCGGTCGAGGTGATCTTCTACGAGACGCTGTCGCTGGAGGTGTGGAAGGCGAAGTATGGGCCGGCGTCGCAGCGGACGCAGGCGCACCCGCCAACGGATACATCTACAGCGCCGGTTCCGTTGCTCGCCGAAGTCGACGAACCCGGTGATGAGGCTGTTGTGGAGGCTCTTTCTCCTTCCCCTGTCTTTGCTCCTCCGTTCCCCGTCGCAGATCGGCCTAAGTCGGCACCTGTGTCGCCCACCGTTGATGAGGGGAGCCTTGAGGCGTCGCCTGTGGCGCCGGCCCATGGCATCGCCGGCGGTCGACAAGGCGCCAAGCTCGTCGACCAGGATGGGAAGCTGTCGACGACAGGGGAGCACCAGACAGGGGAGCCGGTCGAACAGGAGGCAACGACAGGGGTACACTCGACAGGGGAGCAGCAGTCGGATCGGCCGACAGGAGAATTGTCGAAGGCAGCAGCAGACGAACAGCCGGTCGAAGGGTCGAAGCAGCTGGTCGATGACGTTCTCGTCGACGAGAAAGGGGAGCAGTCGGCGGGTGAGGAGTCCACCGACAGCGACGTGATGGAAGTGCCGATCACGAAGCCTGAGCTGCGACGCTCAGGTCGAGCTCGACGGCAGCCGGAGCGGTTGAGCTTCCACGCCTGCCTACCGCCAGCTGCCTTCACCACGGTGTACGACGAGGTCGACGACGACTTGCTGTACGACGATGCCGAGGAGGATGAAGACCTGTCGGAGCTCGACCCCGACGTGCATGCTGACCCCGAACACCGCTCGGACATTGCCACGATGACGGTGAAGGAGGCGCTGTCGAGCTGGAAGGGCGAGGCGGTGAAGGCCGCCATGGAAGAAGAAATCCGTAGCCTCATCGCTATGGGGACTTGGGAGCTGGTCAAACGCCCATGCAGGGTGAACATTATGAAGAACCGATGGGTGCTGACGACCAAGTACCACATCGACGACACCGTCGAGCGCGAGAAGGCGAGGCTGGTCGTAAAGGGCTTCACGCAGGTGTACGGCGCCGACTACGACGAGACGTACTCACCGGTGAGCAGCTACGTCACGCTGAGGATCTTCCTCAGCATCGTCGCCGTCCTCGACCTCAACCTGATGCAGCTCGACATGAAGAACGCTTTTTTGCAGAGCAAGCTCGACAGGGTGCTCTACATGTACCAGCCGGACTACTTCGACGACGGGACCGGCCGGGTGTGTAATCTGCTGAAAAGCCTCTACGGGCTGAAGCAGTCGCCGCTGCTGTGGTACAGGGCTCTTGATGGTGTGCTGCTGGGCGCTGGCTGGAAGAAGAGCCAGGTCGACGAGGCGCTCTACTTCAAGACTAGCGACGACGGTGTGACCTGTTGGGTCTTGGTCTACGTCGACGACCTACTCGCCGCTAGCAGCAGCACCGCGAAGCTGCAGGAGCTGTTGGAGGCCGCCTTCGAGCTGCGTGAGATCTCGCCGTTGGAGAAGTACCTTGGGCTGGAGATCGTGCGCGACAGGCCGGCCAGGAAGTTGTGGCTGCACCAGCAGGGCTACGCCGACAAGCTGCGCAGGCGCTTCATCGACGAGGAGCAGGGCGGTCGAGTCCCAAAGACGCCGGTCTCGGTCGACGCCTACGCTCAGCTGACGTTCGATGACGAGGAGGCTCAGGAGCGCGAAGAGGAGGAGTACCGACAGAAGGTCGGCTCGTTGCAGTTCGCGGCGACGACGACCAGGCCGGACATTGCATTTGCCTGCAGCAAGCTAGGGAGCGGCCTCACGGTGAGGAGCGACCAGCATTGGCGTGAGGTCGACCGTTGCCTTGCCTACCTCGCCGACACCCGCGACACCGCCCTGGAGTTCGGCGGTGGACCAGAATCGTTGGAGCTGATCGGCTACGTCGATGCCGACGACGCGGGCGACAAGCAGAACCGGACGAGCACGGGAGGCTACGTGTTCGTCTATGGAGGGGCCGCCATCTCTTGGTCGAGCTCGCGCATCAAGTGCGCGACATTATCATCGACTGAGTCGGAGTACGTGGCGGCCACGGATGCCGGCAAGGAGGGCCGTCGACTTCGCTTCCTCCTTGCGGAATTCAAGCTGCTCACTGCTGGGAAGCCGACCATCCTCCGCATCGACAACAAGTCGGCAATCATTGTCGCTGAGGGCTTGGGGCTAACGGGCAACCTCAAGCACATGGAACGACGCTACGCGTGGCTGCAGCACATGGTGAGGCGCGGGAAATTTTATACTGAACTACATCCCGACCACCGAGCAGCCGGCGGATTTCCTGACGAAGGCGCTGCATTTTCCGGCTTTCAATCGGTGCTCTGTCGCCATCGGACAAGTTTGTCTGGTCGACGTCGGCGACGGCGACGACGAGGTGCAGCAGTAGGTGCCGTGCCCTTCTGCACGGCTGGTGCGGTGACGGCGTGCTGTGTGTGGGGTGCACGCCGAGGACGAGTTCTCTCCGTGGAGTACTGCCGTGAGGGCTGGAGGCCCAAGCGTGAGCGCGGCAGGGGAGTGTTAACGGGAATGAAGTGTTGGCCCCGCCCTCGCTTGGGCAACGCCGACAACTTGGTCGGATGTACGGAAGTAGCAGCCGACTGCTTACAGTGGGATAGCTGCTCGACAGGTTACGTCGAGCTGCAGCGGACCACTGTGGTGTTGCTGTCGACCAGGATGCTCGACAGCTGCACCTGACTGGCCTGGGCGACGGGTGAGCCGTCCGGGAGGTCGACGAAGCAGTCCGTCAACCTACAGTTCGACGGGGAGGTCTATGGAGCATCCCGTCGAACTGCAACTCGACCGGGAGGTCAACAGAGCGTCCCGTCGAATTGCAGCTCAACCGGGAGGACAACGGAGCATCCCGTCGAACTGCAGTTCGACCGGGAGGTCGACAGAGCAGTTCTGGTCGACGGAAGGGGTCCGTCGACCAAGGGGTAGCTTGACGGGAGGTGTGGTCGACCAGGAGCGCCCGGTGGTCGACCAGGAGCGCCCGGTGGTCGACCAGAGGGACCCAGTGGTCGACGGGAGGCACCTGGGAGTCAACCAGAGCACCAGGGGTAGACCAGGTCGACCGCGTAACCTGCTCGACGAGTTTTGCAGAGGCACGCGAACGTCGTCGAGATCACGATGGCGCAGGCGACTTCGGGCTGGAATCCCGAAGTCGATGTGGCTCGTCAGGCGCAGACAAACAGCCGACAGATGCCCAACGAGGCAAGTCGGGCCAATCGTCTGCGCACACCTGTGAGCGCGCGCACTGCTGTGTTCTACGGGGCGCGCCGTCGACCTGCTTTGTTGGCAGGTCGCCCTTCTGCAGTGCTGGCGCGGCTCCTCTACGCAATGCTGGCAGGCGGTCGACCGAGCTGCGCTGGCGGTCGACCAGGCTGGCTGCAGGGTTGCTAGGTGCCTGATGTAGTCATTGTTGTCATTGCTTCTTGATTATTCTGGAATTCCAACTTTGCTAGTGAAAACTCTTGCCAAATTCTTCCGTGAATGTGCAAACACTAAGGAACTAAGCAAAGCTAAGATCACCTCTAGTAGTTCGTGCCAACCCCTGTAGTCTAGCTCACTACCGTTGTAGAGTTAATCTCCACAGAGATCACGTCAAATCCTTTCGCAAGTCCTTTCTTGGCCAACTCCTTGACCGAGTCGTAGTTGGCGTGCGCAAGCCGATTATGCCACCTCTTGAGAGTCGCCTTGGAGCCTTAAGCCACGTTGGATGAAGCCGTTGTCGGATGCGTCATGAGTTGGTAGAGTTGTCCGTTGAGAACGCCTTGCGCGAATTGCTTCCCCTTCCAAAAGAGGTTCATCTTCGCGCCATCGATGGTGACCTTCACGTCCTTCTTTGCGAGTCGAGTGATGGAGAGTAGATTCACCTTCAATCCCGGGACGTGAAGCACGTTCGTGATGTCCACCGGCCCGCCATCGACGATGAGATGCGTACTCCCAACTCCATACGCTCTCATTCCCTCTCACCCACTCTCATACGCTCTCATTCCCTCTCACCCACTCTCATACGCTCTCATTCCCTCTCACCCACTCTCATACGCTCTCATTCCCTCTCACCCAATCTCTCACGCTCTCATTCCCTCTCACCCACTCTCATATGCTCTCATTCCCTCTAACCCACTCTCATACGCTCTCATTCCCTCTCATCCACTCTCACACGCTCTCATTCCCTCTCAACCACTCTCATACGCTCTCATTCCCTCTCACCCACTCTCATAGGCTCTCATTCCCTCTCACCCACTCTCATACCCTCTCATTCCCTCTCACCCACTCTCTTACGCTCTCATTCCCTCTCACCCATTCTCATACACTCTCATTCCCTCTAACCCACTCTCATACGCTCTCATTCCCTCTCACCCACTCTCATACGCTCTCATTCCCTCTCACCCACTCTCATACGCTCTCATTCACTCTCACCCACTCTCATACGCTCTCATTCCCTCTCACCCACTCTCTCACGCTCTCATTCCCTCTCACCCACTCTCATACGCTCTCATTCCCTCTAACCCATTCTCATACGCTCTCCTTCCCTCTAACCCACTCTCATACGCTCTTATTCCCTCTCAACCACTCTCATACGCTCTCATTCCCTCTCACCCACTCTCATACTCTCTCATTCCCTCTCCCCCACTCTCAAAACGCTCTCATTCCCTCTCAACCACTCTCATACGCTCTCATTTCCTCTCACCCACTCTCATACGCTCTCATTCCCTCTCACCTGTTGTGTGATGCAACCATATGCATTCACGTCTGTCTGCCTCCCATCATGTGTTTGTGCGTTGCATGCGTGGTGTGAGCGTTTGCAAGAAATTTGTGTCTTGTGTGGTTTGGATTTTCTGAGTGTGTGTGAATGTTATTTGGCTTGAGCAGATATCTGAAGTGACTCCAGTGCTCAAGAGCTTTCCGACGAACCAAGAATCACTTCAATCGGAGCATGAACAAGAAAGTTACGAACGTTGGAGTTCGTATGCTTTTGATAATTTGGTTGTGGTGACCATGGAGAGTTGTGGGGTTGACTCAATATGGGGTACAGACTTTTGGGGGTTGGGAAATTCGTCACTACTACTGTAGTTGCTGCCAATTGGTTGGGAGAAACCAAACCAGGTTGGCAAGTGTGGCCAAGTTGGGTTGAGGTGGATTGTGGAGGTTGGGATAGTTACAAAGGTCAAAGTTTGGTTGCCTATGGGGAAGGAAATTGTGTGGCATGGAGTTTTCTTTGGTTGGGGACTCCTTGGGACCTTCCCTCTCGTCCTTCTTTTTTCCTCCTACCTGGTTTAGTGCTACTCTAACTCTCTTGTGTGCAACTCTTGTGAACTTGTGAAACTATTGTGAGTGAATTTAATTTCTATGTGGCAGCATACCCCCTGGTGCGCCGAGAAACATAACTCGAGATTTACTCCACTTTTCGATACGATTCAAATTGGGAATGATAGCCACAAACAAGGGCTATAACATACTCGAGTTTGAGATGATTCTAACTGTGCAAGTTTTGTCGACAACGTTTCTTGTGAAGTCGCGGTTTCTGTCCAGTATTTCAAGCCAACGATTTTGAGAAATTTAGGCTCCTAATCTTCACAGACTCGATCCTTAGTCTCTTACATCACCCACTCTCATACGCTCTCATTTTCTCTCACCCACTCTCATACGCTCTCATTCCCTCTCACCCACACTCATACGCTCTCATTCCCTCTCACCCACACTCATACGCTCTCATTCCCTCTCACCCACACTCATGTTGGAAGTCGGTGGGGGGCCAAGTGGTCCCCACTACACACCCCTCCAACCTTACCAAGTGGGGTTGGGTGGCGAGAGTTTGGGCGGAAGGGTGGCGGTGCACACAAGTCAAGGGTTGCACTTGGGTGGTAGCTAGAAACAAAACCATCGAGGGTTATTTGCAAGTGGGCGGAATGAACCAAACAAAAGCACAAACAAATGGCGCGATGTGATTGGTCCGACCCATTGCATTTGCAACTTGTGTGCATGGACGGAAATGTAAACGGAAAAGGACGTAACTCCTTTTCCGAAATTCCACCGTCAATTTTGCAATGGGGTGGGTTACGAAATTGCACGCGGCTCGGTTACAAATGCGGTTCGATTGCTCTAGTTATTGTGAGTTCTTACTAGAATTAGATACTCTCTGGAATGTTGTACCCAGCCCTATATTATTCAAGCTACCGTTCTCATTTCTTGGGCGATCTTTGTGTTTTTTGGTGCTACGGATTTGTCACTCCAAGACCTATCCAGAAATAGCACACACAAATTGTTTCATCAGGAATTGAGTTCAGGTCGGCGTCTTAAAGTGGCCGGTTCTTCCTACATGGTATCAGAGCTTAGGAATTCTCAAACGCTTGACGCCTAACTCTCCTTGTCGCCATGTCTTTGACTTCCTCGTCGACCTCTGAGGTCCCCCTTCGTCCTACCCCCAATGAGTCCTACTCCGCATCTACGACGATCGTCGACATGAGTGCGGTGCCATTGTTCAATGGCGAGCACTATGCATCATGGCGCTTCAAGTTGAAGGTGCACATGATGGAGCGTGAGCTTTGGGGCTTCTTCGACGGATCCGAAGTGAAGCCTCCAACCGCCTCGACAACGGAGCATGGAGCATGGGTGAAGAAGGACAAGAAGGCGTTCTCGTTTCTCGTGTCGAAGCTCGGACTTCAACTCGTGCCGGTGGTGAGCTCGTGCATCGACCTTGAAGGAGCTACACGTGAAGCTTGGAGGCGCCTCGAGAACATCCACGTGACGAAGTCTCTCCACAGCAAGTTGCAAGCGAGGAGGAACTTCTTCACCGTGCGCATCAAGGAGGGCGAACGCATGCGCGCATACGTCAACCGCGTTGAGGAGCTTGGCGAACGAATGGTGGAGCTTGAAGCGGACGTGGATGAGAAGGATTGGATCATGACGCTTCTCGGAGGGCTCGGAGAGGAATGGTCAACCGTCATCACCACCCTTGACGGCACGCAAGCGACGTGGACCAAGGAGGGGGTGACGACGCGCCTCATCAACGAGGAGATGCGGTGGATCAACTTGAAAGGCGATTCAACGAGTTCGGCTCACTTCACGCGCGGCGCGAAAAAAGGCGTTGTCTACACCAAGCCACGGAATGACCGTGGGCATGCAAGTGGAAGCGTGAGCTCTTCACGTGGAGGACATGCCAACAACAACAACAACCGTGGTCATGCTCGTGAAGGAGCATGCCGGTATTGCAAGAAGCTCGGGCATTGGTGGCGCGAGTGTCGGAGCAAGCCAAGGGATTGGACTCCAACGTCAACGTCTTTAATTCAAGAGGAGAGGCGCGCGAACGTGGTGACTTTGGGAGAAGACACCAAGGAGCTCGTGTTCATCGCAGGAGAAGGAGCTCTTGGCGGGCTCGCATGGCTTCTCGACACGGGCGCTACACAACACATGACGCTGCACGCGGAGCTTCTTGAGGATGTCTCGGCGGATGCTCCTATCAAGCGCGTGGTCTTCGGTAATCAAGACTCGCTTGAGGTGGAGGGACGCGGAACGTTGCGCATCGCGGTGGACGGCGGTCCAATGACAATCAACAACGTGTTGGTTGTGCCGGGACTCGGCGCCAACTTGCTCTCCGTGTCACAACTCACCACCAAGGGAATGCGTGTCAACATCGAAGGCGCGGTCATGACATTGAGCACGTCTTCCGGGCGCTTCATCGGCAAAGCGCATCAAGACGGCGGACTCTTCAAGCTCGTGGCTACACCGAACCTTGCGTCGGCGCACGCGGCGGTGGCAAAGCCTTCATTGGAGATGTGGCACAACCGCTACGGGCACTTGAGTGCGTCAACCATCCGCGCCATGGCAACTCAAGGCGTAGTGCACGGGATCGTCATCGACTCGTCAACAAACGAGGAGGTGGAGAAGTGTTCGGCGTGTCTTGAAGGGAAGATGGCGCGGAAGCCGTTTCCAACTCGCACGAAGCCTCTCGCCTCCAACCCGCTCGATCTCGTCCATACCGGCTTGTGTGGACCAATCACCCCTATCTCTAAAGGGGGAGCGCGCTACATTCTCACTCTCCTCGACGACGCGACACGCATGGTGTGGGTCTACCTTCTCAAGGACAAAAGCGCGACTTCTACGACAATCAAGAAGTGGGTGGCGCTTGTTGAGACGGAGAAAGAAGGACAACTCGTGAAGCGGATTCGGTCGGATGGAGGAGGAGAGTACGTCAACAACGAGCTCGACGGGTGGTTCAAGGCGCGAGGAACCTTCCACGAAGTATCGGTTCCTCACTCACCTCAACAAAATGGAGCGGCGGAGCGCTTGAACCGCACCTTGGTTGAAGCGGTTAGGAGCATGCTTGCCCATGCTCATGCGGACAAGTCTTGGTGGGGTGAAGCGACAATGTTGGCAACTTGGATTCACAACCGAAGCTTGACCAAGACCTTGCCGAACGTGACACCCCTCGAGGCTTGGAGTGGCGACAAACCGGACGTCTCCAACCTCCGCACCTTCGGGTGCATTTGCTACTATCACGTTCCCGATGCTACACGCACCAAGCTTGAGGCGAAGGCGCGTGTGGGGATGTATTTGAGCCATAGCCTTGATCACAAGGGATGGCGGGTGTGGGACTTGGAGAGCGGAAAGGTGGTGGTGTCGCGCGACGTCTCATTCTTCGAGAACCGCTTCCCAACTTCACCAAAAGAGAAGCATTCGGTCGTGGTCATCCCTCCAACGGTTGAAGACACGAATGAGTCATCTTCTCACGATGTTCCCAAGGAGAGGAGTGTTCAAGACGAGGAGGGAGATGTTGTTGAAGTGGTTGGAGTGGAGAGTGAGAAGGATGGTGATCCTTCTACCGTCGTCGCTCCAACGCTTGCATCTACTCGCGCTCGAAGAACTCCTCATCCGAACCCGAAGTACGCCGACTACTCGCTTGTGGTGGAGGATGATGAGGAAGGGGAAGATGCCATGTGCTTCATGGCCGACTTCACACCTACCACCTACCGTGAGGCGATGGAGACGCTCCAAGCCGGTAATTGGACTCAAGCACTCAATGAGGAGTACGAGTTCATGATTGAAAATGATGTCTATGATCTTGTCCCTTTGCCCCCAAATAGCTACACCGTTGGGTCCCGATGGGTCTTCAAGAAGAAGCTCGGGCCGAACGGTGAGGTGGAGCGATACAAGGCTCGCTTGGTGGCACAAGGGTACACGCAAAAGGCAGGGCTTCACTACAACGAGACCTTTGCACCGGTAGCAAAGTCTTCTTCCCTTCGTGTTCTCTTAGCTCTAGCGGGAGGACTTGATCTAGAGGTAGAACAACTTGATGTAAAAACCGCATTTTTATATGGCCACCTAGAGGAGGAGGTGTACATGAGGCAACCTCCGGGGTTTGAGGATGGGACGGACCGTGTGTGCAAGTTGAAGCGCACCATCTACGGCTTGAAGCAAAGCCCTAGAGCATGGTACATGAGGATGGACAAGCACTTGCTTGAGTTGGGCTTCACTCGGAGTGAGTGTGATCACGCCCTGTACATCCTCAACCGTGGGGAGAAGAAGCTCGTCCTCCTTCTCTACGTGGACGACCTCCTCCTCGTTTCCGATTGCAAGGACCTTGTGGCGGAGATCAAGGTGAAGCTTGCATCGGAGTTCTCCATGCGCGACCTTGGTGCCGTGTCATACTACCTCGGCATGCACATCGACCGCGATCGGGCGCACAAGACTCTTCATCTTCACCAACACAAGTACTTGGAGGACGTGGTGGCTCGCTTCGGGATGAGCGAGAGCAAGCCGGCACCCACACCCATGGAGGTGGGGTTCCACCCTTTGGCTACAAGCGAGGAAGTCCCTATGGATCCCGAGAAGACCAAGCGCTTTCATTCCATAGTAGGCTCATGCATGTATGCCGCCGTGAGCACCCGTCCCGATCTCTCATTCACGGTTGGGCTACTTGGGAGAGTAGTCTCCAACCCCATGGTAGAGCATGAGCGTGCCTTGCGTCGTCTTCTTCGCTATGTTAGGGGCACTAGTCACCTAGGGCTCCACTATGAAGCCGGGCCGGTAGCACTCATTGGGTTCACGGATTCCGATTGGGCGGGGGATCCTTCCACTCGGCAAAGCACCTCGGGCCTTGTCTTCACGCTCCTTGGGGGGGCGGTGGCTTGGCAAAGCAAGAGGCAAAACTTGATTGCCCTTAGCTCAACCGAGGCCGAGTATGTTGCTCTCAACCGTGGTGGTACCGAGGCCGTGTGGTTGAGGCGTCTCCTAGCCGAGCTAGGATACGAACAAGAGGGACCCACGCCGATCTACGTGGACAACCAAGCGGCAATCAACCTTGCCAAGAACTCGGTCCTTCATGGAAGGACCAAGCACATCCAAATTCGTCATCACTTCATCCGCAAGCTCGTCGAAGACAAGGAGGTGGAGCTACGCTACGTGAAGACTAACGCTCAATCCGCGGACTTCCTCACCAAACCTTTGCCTAAGGATACCTTTCATGCATGTTGTGCTAGGGTAGGCTTGTATGCATAGGTGCTTGTGGGGACCAAGGGGGAGTGTTGGAAGTCGGTGGGGGGCCAAGTGGTCCCCACTACACACCCCTCCAACCTTACCAAGTGGGGTTGGGTGGCGAGAGTTTGGGCGGAAGGGTGGCGGTGCACACAAGTCAAGGGTTGCACTTGGGTGGTAGCTAGAAACAAAACCATCGAGGGTTATTTGCAAGTGGGCGGAATGAACCAAACAAAAGCACAAACAAATGGCGCGATGTGATTGGTCCGACCCATTGCATTTGCAACTTGTGTGCATGGACGGAAATGTAAACGGAAAAGGACGTAACTCCTTTTCCGAAATTTCACCGTCAATTTTGCAATGGGGTGGGTTACGAAATTGCACGCGGCTCGGTTACAAATGTGGTTCGATTGCTCTAGTTATTGTGAGTTCTTTCTTGTTGAGTATAAAAACTCACTCGTCAACTAGAATTAGATACTCTCTGGAATGTTGTACCCAGCCCTATATTATTCAAGCTACCGTTCTCATTTCTTGGGCGATCTTTGTGTTTTTTGGTGCTACGGATTTTTCACTCCAAGACCTATCCAGAAATAGCTCACACAAATTGTTTCATCAGGAATTGAGTTCAGGACGGCGTCTTAAAGTGGCCGGTTCTTCCTACAACTCATACGCTCTCATTCCCTCTCACCCACTCTCATACTCTCTCATTCCCTCTCAACCTCTCTCATACTCTCTCATACGCTCTCATCCACTCTCATCCACTCTCATCCGCTCTCCACCCCTCTGTCGGAAACCTCCTTGCTCTCTCCCAGCTCGCTCACTGCCCACCCTGCTACCCTTGCTCCTGCCCACACATCCCTCCTCTCCTCTTTGTTCCACCCGCCCCATCTCTACTCATATTGCCCCTTGACGCTCTCCCTTCACCCTTGCCTTGCCTTCAATGACTTCCCCCCCCCTTGTTCTCCTTTCTCTGTATTGCTCTGCTACCCCACTTTCTGCTTACCCTTATCCTTGTTCATTTCCTTCTCAGCCCCTTCCTAAGAAAAGCCCTTCCTCTAATCCATCGGACTGCAGATATGGCTTCGCTAAGAAACTGCTTATCTCGAGAAGAATTCACAGTAAAATGCGAAAACATTCACGCAGTGGCAGTCCCATGGCCCAGGCACCTCTAATATTGCACCCTTCCCCTTAGCCTAGCTAAGCATAGCTACCAACAGATGAGTACTAGCAGCTCAGCTTCGCCACCCTTGCAGCTACCCTGCCTTCTTCCAGCTGGCGGGTGTGACTTCCAGCTTCCCCTGGACTCGGTGTCTGCACACAAGCAAGAAAACAAACACATGCATCCCATCATACCCCACCCCCCCCTTTCCGCCACGTAAGCTTGCCAACCCTTCCCCCAGCCAGCCACAGGTTCGTCCCAACCTTCTTCCCCTGCCTGCAACTGCCGAGTTGCCCTCCACCTCCTGCGATCGCTTCTACACCCCGTTATCCACTTCCTCGACTATATACAAATGTACACATTATTCCTCCTTGCCTCCCTTACAGCCCCTCCTTTACTTGTCAGCGTTCTTTAGGGTTTTCCCTCAAGAACTCTGACAGCTGTCGGAAACCTCCTTGCTCTCTCCCAGCTCGCTCACTGCCCACCCTGCTACCCTTGCTCCTGCCCACACATCCCTCCTCTCCTCTTTGTTCCACCCGCCCCATCTCTACTCATATTGCCCCTTGACGCTCTCCCTTCACCCTTGCCTTGCCTTCAATGACTTCCCCCCCCCTTGTTCTCCTTTCTCTGTATTGCTCTGCTACCCCACTTTCTGCTTACCCTTATCCTTGTTCATTTCCTTCTCAGCCCCTTCCTGCCCCCTCCCGTGACGCATCGCCGCCGCCCTCGCACGCGTCACGGGACCAGAGGGGTTTCCCTTGCCTATCTCCGAGCGAATCCTCGCCACATTGGTCACGTGATCGGACACCTGCTTGCCCTTACCATCCTCCAGTATGATCACCCCCGACGGCTTGACTTCCTTGACTGCCCACCGTTGCTGTGATAGCCCCACATCCAGGGCGTGCTGCCGCTGCCGCCTCAGGTACACCTCCTCCCCTTCCTGCACCCCTGCATTCTTTTTCCTGCCCTTTACTTCTTGCCTCTGCTTGTACCTCTCTATGTCCCGCAGCTGAGCAACGTGCAGATTCTCCATGGCTGCGGGCAGCAGCCGCCGTAGGTAGGCTGCTCGCGCATCGGCTACTGCAACCCATTTCTCTGCCGATCCTGTGGTCACCACGTCCAGGAGGAGCTTAGGTGCCCCCACTGGCATCACTGGCTCCTTACCAAACAGCAGGTAATACGGCGACACATCCTTGAGTGCTGCCTGCTTGCTAACCCGGTACCCAGCCATAACCCAGCAGAGCCTTTTGTCCCAATCCCGCTTATGCTCCTCACCGTAAGCCCTTAACCCTCTCTTCACCGTCTGCACCAGCCGCTCGGTCAATCCATCACTCTGCGGATGATAACGTGACGTGCAGCGGTGCCTGATCCCTGTTGCCCTGAGCAGCTCATCGAACGCTCCTTTAAATTCTGTGCCTTGGTCCGTCAGCACCTCCCCGCATGCCCCCAGACGTGTGATCACCATTTCCTCAAACGCTTCTGCCACCGCCTCTGTCGTTTTGTGCACTAAGGGTTTGGCTTCTGCCCATTTACTCACGTGTTCCACCATCAGCAATATGTAACGCCTTCCTTTCGTGCTGAGTGGCAGCTCCCCCGCAATGTCAAGCGACCACCTATAGCCCAAGCTCACCACCGGCAACGGTTGTAGCTCTGCCTTTTCCCGTTCCAGCACCGCCCTGTTCCGGCCGCATGCCTCGCATTTCCATACCCAGTCCTTAACCTGCTTGCGCAGGCCTGCCCACCACCATCCGGTTTGCACCAGCTGCTGCGTTCTTAGTGGCCCGTAATGGCCCAGCTTCTCGTGTACCTCCTTGATAATGCCTTCCCTCTCCTCTGGTGCGGGCACGTGCTTCCAGCCTTCTCCTGTCCTTAGCTGCACTTGCCCCTTGAACCAGCGGTAAAACTCCCCTCGTGCTCTTACTCTGGCTGTCTCCGCTCCTGCCTCTGTTGTTGCCCCCTGAATCCAAGCTAGCGCTGCCTTGTCTTCCCATATGTCTGCAGGTCCGCCTCGCCCTTCTCCCCACTGTCCCCCTTGGTCTGCTTCCTTGGCCAACGCCATTAGGCACGCTGAGGGCTGCATCACCGGCGGGTTCCTCGAGAGCCCGTCAACGTGCTGCATGGTTTTCCCCGGCCTATGCCTAATCTCGAAGTCGTACTCTTGGAGTTTCATTGCCCACCGCGCGTTTCTGCCCGTCAAATCCGACGTCTGCATGAGCCACAGCAGGGGTTGGTGATCCGTCACCAGGGTAAACTTCCTCCCGTGTAGGTACACCCGGAAGTGCTTAACTGCCCACACTACTGCTAACCCCTCTCCCTCGTACGATGAGTAGTTGCTCTCCGCTGCATTGCAGCTGCGGCTTGCAAAGGCCACTACCTTCTCCACCTCCCCCTTCATCTGCGCCAGGACTGCACCCATCCCCACGCTGCTCCAGTCGGTGTAGAGCACGTAAGGCAGATCCGCTCTGGGTAGCTCCAGCACTGCTCCATTCTTTACGGCGCCCATGAGGTCCTGCACGGCCATCTCCTGGTCTGGTCCCCACTCCCACTTGCAATCCTCCCTCAATAGCTGATTCAGCGCTTGTGCTCGGCTGCTGAAGTTTGGCACAAACTTCCTGTAATAGTTGAGGAAGCCCAGCAGTGCGCGCAGGGTACTCCTGTCCTTCGGTGTTGACACGCGATCCAGCACCTCCACCTTCGCCTTCTGTATGCCGATCCTCCCCCCTGCCACTTCGAATCCTAGGTACGCCACCGTGCTCTGGCCAAATTTACACTTCCCTGGGTGACAGGTCATCCCGGCGTTCTGTATCGCCCTCAGGACCGCCTCAACATCCCTCGTATGCGCGCTGCTGTCCCTGCTGAACACGATCACGTCGTCGATATAGCAGGCGGCATTCGGCACGTCGCGCAGAATCTGATCCATAATGCGCTGGAATTCCGGCGAGGCCGATTTCAACCCAAATGGCATCGTGTTCCATTCATATTGCCCATCCGGCCCGTGGAAGGCGGTCTTCTTCCGGTCAGCTTCTATGATGGGTATCTGGTTGAACCCCTGCCGCAGATCCAAGGTAGAGAAGACTGCCGCTGCCGCCAACCTGTCGAATAGCTCATCTGGCGTGGGCGTTTGATACCGTTTCATCACCGTCACCTTGTTGAGCCCGCGGTAATCCCCGCACATTCGCTTCGACAGCACTTGCCCTGTGAGGTCTGTCCTAGCAGCTACTACCGTGGCTGCTGCGTATTCCGAGTTGGACTTCCGTATGAACCCCGCTTCCATCAGCTCCTGGCATTTCTCTGTGCAGATCTGTAACTCTTCTGCTGTCATCCTCCGCCGCCGCTGGTATACTGGAATCTCCGTGGTTAACTCGATGCTGACCTCCGCCATGTTGCACCTGCCCACTTCCTTCAGCGTGTATGCGAACGCCTGCCGATACTTTGCAAGCACCTTCCTTAGTTCTGCCGCGTCCACTTCGGTGACGCCATCTCCGATCTCCCACTGGTGCTCTGCAGCCGCTGATGCCGCTGGCTCCTTCTCCCTCGTCCCCCGCGCTAACCCTTCCGCCTCAGCTGGCTCCGTCGGCTGGCCCTGTGCCTTCTCCCGCGACCGTTCTCCCTCTGTCTTCGCCTCCGCTCCTACCTCCTTCGTTGCCGCCATCAAGGCGAACTCCCGCTCATAGCTCTCCCTACTCCGCTGCCTCTCGATGGCCTCCTCCACCCAGTCCAAGTCCTCTCGCTTCTTGTCCACGGCTGCCTCTTCCCGAGCGGCTGGCAGCTCGATCTGGGTCTGTTCTGCATATACCGCTGGTACTTCGTCCTCCTCTTCCCACGGATATACCCACCTCTTCTCCAGTGGATGCCCCAACTGGTGCTGGACCCTATCATTCGCGTACATCTCTCCCAGCATGGCCCTGGCGAGGGCTTCTTTAGCAACTGAGCGCTCCGTGGGTGGCTGCACTGCTGCCGCCTTGTCTCGTTTGCGCTCCCACCGAAGCTGTGAGTGATACATCCGTATCGTCGCCACCAGCCAGTGCATGACGTTCAAATCCATGGCTCTCCCCAGAGCCCGCCTCCTCGCCGTTTCTGTGACCTCTGGATGCGCGGTTGCATCTTCCATGAAGCCCATGGCCAATTCTCGCTCTAGCGCTGTCGGTTCCTGCCATTCTCCCGCTGTACAGTCATACACCATTCCTGGCCCCGGGTCTTCCCCGTGCATCTTAAAGGCCGCTGCACCCTCGTATGACACGAACGTGGGCCAAGCCCGCCGCGGCTTTCCTATCTCATTGCACGCAAACTGCGTCGGATGATCCGGCTGTGTCACTGGTGCGGGCATCCTCCCGACTTCAAGGACGTCTTCCACCAACAATGGCACGGGGCGTTCCATCAGCGACAAGCGATACTGCAGGGCTGCACTCGTTACTCCATTCGTCCAGTAGCGGCGCACCCTATGCGCTCGGCTGCCCGTCTGCGCCCCATCCACTACAATCCCCGGGCCGAGTACCCCCGTCACTTCCTCATGTGCCACTTGGATCTGCTCCCGCACATCCCCCTCCATGTCCACGTTCTCCACGATGTAGAGTACTTCCCCCTGCACCCGCTTGAGAATTCGCAGCACTCGCACTAACTCCCTGAAAAGGCTGCTCCTTTCGTCCCTCATGCCTCTGCCTGCCCCTGCCCGTGAATATCCTTGACACTCCCATCCCGCAATGACCACATCAATCTTCCCCCATCCCCTTATGGTCTGCTCCGTCACCATCCGTATGTCGCAGGCCTGAGTGTGCGTGCTTTGCTCCAACGCCAAAGCCGTCAGCTGGTGCGGGTATCTCTTTTGCAGCTGCTCCGCGTGATTCCATGCCATCTTTACCGACTCTCTGTCTGACTCCACCAGTATCCACTTCTCCACGTAGGCCCCGGCCTTTAGGACTGCTGCTAAGCCCGTGCCGATGCCGCCAAAGAGCTCCAATACCACTGTGGGACCCAGTAGCTTCTTAGTGTCCGTGCATAACTGCCTCAGGTCTCCTTCGTCCTCGTCAGTCCCCTCCGCTGGTGTACGCATCCCCGCGGCTTGCTGCCAGGAAGGTACTCCTAGCTCTTCGCGCAATTCTGCTTCGGTGCACTGGTAAGCTTCCCTCGGCTCTCTCCTCACGAAGCGCACTGGCAACGTGCCAATGGGGCCATCATCCTTCCAGTAGTGTACGCGATACTGCATCTTCTCCTCCCACATGCAGATTGTCGAGCCGATGCCAAAGAGATACTCCACTCCTATGAGCAGATCAAAGTCCAATGAGTCCGACACTCCGCAGTGCACCCTCAGCGTGCACTCCTCTGGCGTGCCCGGATTCAGCACCAAGGCCATGGACTGCCGCGTTTTAGGCATCCACTTCGCCTCTCCTCCCTCCGCCGTCATAAGCAGGTAGCCCTCCGGTATCAGCCGCTCAGCCTTGTCCAGTTGCAGCTTCTCCGCCAATTGCTTGCCGATTAGTACATGTGCAGCTCCCGTGTCCACTATGGCTCTCTGGGCTCGTAGCCCCCCAACCGTGATTGCCCCCGGTTCGATCGTCAGCACCGTGGCCTGACATATCATGCGATCGCGCGGATGCCGAAACGCCGCTCCTTCTCTGTCCTCGGTTGCGCTTACCCTCCTCCTCGGGCCATCTTCCCGCCTTTCGTCCTCCCTGAAGAGCTGTCTGCGCGCGCCGCTCCTTAGGCCTAGCTCCTCTCGCTCCCGTGCGGGTTGCGCCATTAGCATGAACTCTGGCTCTTCCGAGTCTTCCTCTTCCTGCGCCACCATCGCCGGCTGCTTCTCCTCCACTGCTTCTAGCTCTGCTAATTGCGCCCGCAGCCGTGCCATGACGGCTTGCCGATCTTCACCTCCCTCCACTCCTCGCCTGTCCCTGCGGTTTGCGTAGCAATCTGCCTCCCGATGCCCCTTCCTTCCACAGCGTGCGCACACTGGGGCCCCCGGACAGTCCCGTCGCAAATGCTCGCGACTCCCGCAGAGCGAACAGGCTGCTGGGTTCCGGCAGTCCCGGCGCAGATGTCCCGGCTGCCCACAGTTGTGGCAACGTCGGGTCTCTTCCCTTCCCCTTTCCTCCACCTCCTGATGCGCGGACGTGGCTGCCCACGCCGGCCGTCTCCTCTCGGATGCCCGATCCACCGTTCTCTCGACCTCGTAGAGCCTGCGTCCCGTCTCCACTCGTTTGACGATTTCGTACGCCTCCTTCAGCGTCGCTTCCGCACCCAACTCGAACACCCTCACTTCCACGTCCTGCCACAGTGGTTGACTGAGGCCATGGACAAACTTGCCGATCAGCCGGCCCTGGTCTCCACAGTTCATGTCCTCCCCCAATTCCACCAGCCTCCCGTAGTAGGCCAGCAGCGATTCTCCCTCTCGCCTTCTGAACGACCGGAACTCGACCACTCGCTCTGCCATCTGCGCCGGAAATTGCTCGCGCAACATTGCTAGGAACCTTGCCGTAGGATCCCTTTCGCCCGGGGCCCGTCCTGCCGCCCACTCCAGCAGCTCCTTGCGAGATATGCGGTAATAGGTCTCTGCCTCCCCGGTCAACGTATTTGCTAGCCCTCGGAAGAACTCCTCCGGGTCCAGCTGATCCTTCGCCCATCGCGCTTGCAGATTCTCCAACTGCATGATGTAGTTCTTCAGGCTTGGACCTCTTCGAGCATCGCCGGAGAATCTCTCCGGCACTTCGATCTTTGGCAGCTGAGTGTACTTCCAGCGCTGCATCATCGTCTCGTCTTCCGTGCCTTGCCACGAGGCGCTGCGCTGATATCCCACTGGTCCGCCCATTTGCGACTGCGGTCGCGCCGGCGGCCCTTGCGCTCCCTCCGACCCAGTTGGCGCGTTGCCCCCGCCTCCTGCGCTTCCGATCTGAGCACCTCCCCTGGGGCCGGTTGCTCCTTCACTAGGCCCAGTCTGGCCTTCCGCATCTCCGCCTCCCGGCGGCAGATCATTCTCCCGCTGATTCCCGTCTCCTCCCCTCATCCTCTCGTCCTGTCCTTTCGTTGCTCTGACTACTTCTATCCACCTTCCTGACCGCAATCGCATTCAGACTGCGTGAATGTAAGAAAAGCCCTTCCTCTAATCCATCGGACTGCAGATATGGCTTCGCTAAGAAACTGCTTATCTCGAGAAGAATTCACAGTAAAATGCGAAAACATTCACGCAGTGGCAGTCCCATGGCCCAGGCACCTCTAATATTGCACCCTTCCCCTTAGCCTAGCTAAGCATAGCTACCAACAGATGAGTACTAGCAGCTCAGCTTCGCCACCCTTGCAGCTACCCTGCCTTCTTCCAGCTGGCGGGTGTGACTTCCAGCTTCCCCTGGACTCGGTGTCTGCACACAAGCAAGAAAACAAACACATGCATCCCATCATACCCCACCCCCCCCTTTCCGCCACGTAAGCTTGCCAACCCTTCCCCCAGCCAGCCACAGGTTCGTCCCAACCTTCTTCCCCTGCCTGCAACTGCCGAGTTGCCCTCCACCTCCTGCGATCGCTTCTACACCCCGTTATCCACTTCCTCGACTATATACAAATGTACACATTATTCCTCCTTGCCTCCCTTACAGCCCCTCCTTTACTTGTCAGCGTTCTTTAGGGTTTTCCCTCAAGAACTCTGACACCTCCCATCCCCTCTCATCCCCTCTCATCCCCTCTCACACACTCTCATTCCCTCTCACCCACTCTCTCACGCTCTCATTCCTTCTCACCCACTCTCTCACGCTCTCATTCCCTCTCAACCACTGTCATACAATCTCATTCCCTCTCACCCACTCTCATACGCTCTCATTCCCTTTCACCCACTCTCTCACGCTCTCCGTCCCTCTCACCCACTCTCATACCCTCTCATTCCCTCTCACCCAGTCTCATACGCTCTCATTCCCTCCCACCCACACTCATACGCTCTCATTCCCTCTCACCCACTCTCATACCCTCTCATTCCCTCTCACCCACTCTCTTACGCTCTCATTCCCTCTCACCCACTCTCATACACTCTCATTCCCTCTAACCCATTCTCATACGCTCTCATTCCCTCTCACCCACTCTCATACGCTCTCATTCCCTCTCGCCCACTCTCATACGCTCTCATTCCCTCTCACCGACTCTCATACGCTCTCATTCCCTCTCACCCACTCTCATACGCTCTCATTCCCTCTCACCCACTCTCATACGCTCTCATTCCCTCTCACCCACTCTCATATGCTCTCATTCCCTCTAACCCACTCTCATACGCTCTCATTCCCTCTCACCCACTCTCAAACGCTCTCATTCCCTCTCACCCACTCTCATACGCTCTCATTCCCTCTCACCCACTCTCATACGCTCTCATTCCCTCTCACCCACTCTCTCACGCTCTCATTCCCTCTCACCCACTCTCTCACGCTCTCATTCCCTCTCACCCACTCTCATACGCTCTCATTCCCTCTAACCCACTCTCATACGCTCTCATTCCCTCTCATCCACTCTCATACGCTCTCATTCCCTCTCAACCACTCTCAAACGCTCTCATTCCCTCTCACCCACTCTCATACGCTCTCATTTCCTCTCATCCTCTCTCATACCCTCTCATTCCCTCTCACCCACACTCTCACGCTCTCATTCCCTCTCACCCACTCTCATACGCTCTCATTCCCTCTAACCCACTCTCATACGCTCTCATTCCCTCTCATCCACTCTCATACGCTCTCATTCCCTCTCAACCACTCTCATACGCTCTCATTCCCTCTCACCCACTCTCATACCCTCTCATTCCCTCTCACCCACTCTCTTACGCTCTCATTCCCTCTCACCCACTCTTATACACTCTCATTCCCTCTAACCCATTCTGATACGCTCTCATTCCCTCTCACCCACTCTCATACGCTCTCATTCCCTCTCGCCCTCTCTCATACGCTCTCATTCCCTCTCACCCACTCTCATACGCTCTCATTCCCTCTCACCCACTCTCATACGCTCTCATTCCCTCCCACCCACACTCAGACGCTCTCATTCCCTCTCACCCACTCTCTCACGCTCTCATTCCCTCTCACCCACTCTCATACGCTCTCATTCCCTCTCACCCACTCTCATACTCTCTCATTCCCTCTCACCCACACTCATACGCTCTCATTCCCTCTCACCCACTCTCATACTCTCTCATTCCCTCTCACCCACTCTCATACGCTCTCATTCCCTCTCACCCACTCTCATACGCTCTCATTCCTTCTCACCCACTCTCATACGCTCGCATTCCCTCTCACCCACTCTCATGCGCTCTCATTTCCTCTCACCCACTCTCTCACGCTCTCATTCCCTCTCACCCACTCTCATACGCTCTCCGTCCCTCTCACCCACTCTCATACCCTCTCATTCCCTCTTACCCACACTCATACGCTCTCGTTCCCTCTCACCCACACTCATACGCTCTCATTCCCTCTCACCCACTCTCATACGCTCTCATTCCCTCTCACCCACTCTCATACTCTCTCATTCCCTCTCAACCACTCTCATACTCTCTCATACGCTCTCATCCACTCTCATCCAATCTCATCCGCTCTCAACCCCTCCCATCCCCTCTCATCCCCTCTCATCCCCTCTCACACACTCTCATTCCCTCTCACCCACTCTCTCATGCTCTCATGCCCTCTCACCCACTCTCTCACGCTCTCATTCCCTCTCACCCACTGTCATACACTCTCATTCCCTCTCACCCACTCTCTTACGCTCTCATTCCCTCTCATCCACTCTCATACGCTCTCATTCCGTCCCACCCACACTCATACAGTCTCATTCCCTCTCACCCACTTTCATACCCTCTCATTCCCTCTCACCCACTCTCTTACGCTCTTATTCCCTCTCACTCACTCTCATGCACTCTCATTCCCTCTGACCCACTCTCATACGCTCTCATTCCCTCTCACCCACACTCATACGCTCTCATTCCCTCTCGCCCACTCTCATACGCTCTCATTCCCTCTCACCCACTCTCATACGCTCTCATTCCCTCTCACCCACTCTCATACGCTCTCATTCCCTCTCACCCACTCTCATAGGCTCTTATTCCCTGTCACCCACTCTCATATGCTCTCATTCCCTCTAACCCACTCTCATACGCTCTCATTCCCTCTCACCCACTCTCAAACGCTCTCATTCCCTCTCACCCACTCTCATACGCTCTCATTCCCTCTCACCCACTCTCATACGCTCTCATTCCCTCTCACCCACTCTCATACGCTCTCATTCCCTCTCACCCACTCTCATACCCTCTCATTCCCTCTCACCCACTCTCATACGCTCTCATTCCCTCTCACCCACTCTCATACGCTCTCATTCCATCTCACCCACTCTCTCACGCTCTCATTCCTTCTCACCCACTCTCATACGCTCTCATGCCCTCTCACCCACTCTCATACGCTCTCATTCCCTCTCACCCACTCTCATACGCTCTCATTCCCTCCCACCCACACTCAGACGCTCTCATTCCCTCTCACCCACTCTCTCACGCTCTCATTCCCTCTCACCCACTCTCATACGCTCTCATTCCCTCTCAACCACTCTCATACGCTCTCATTCCCTCTCACCCACTCTCATACTCTCTCATTCCCTCTCACCCACACTCATACGCTCTCATTCCCTCTCACCCACTCTCATACTCTCTCATTCCCTCTCACCCACTCTCATACGCTCTCATTCCCTCTCACCCACTCTCATACGCTCTCATTCCTTCTCACCCACTCTCATACGCTCGCATTCCCTCTCACCCACTCTCATACGCTCTCATTTCCTCTCACCCACTCTCTCACGCTCTCATTCCCTCTCACCCACTCTCATACGCTCTCCGTCCCTCTCACCCACTCTCATACCCTCTCATTCCCTCTCACCCACACTCATACGCTCTCGTTCCCTCTCACCCACACTCATACGCTCTCATTCCCTCTCACCCACTCTCATACGCTCTCATTCCCTCCCACCCACTCTCATACGCTCTCATTCCCTCTCACCCACTCTCATACGCTCTCATTTCCTCTCACCCACTCTCTCACGCTCTCATTCCCTATCACCCACTCTCATACGCTCTCCGTCCCTCTCACCCACTCTCATACCCTCTCATTCCCTCTCACCCACACACATACGCTCTCATTCCCTCTCACCCACACTCAGACGCTCTCATTCCCTCTCACCCACTCTCTCAAGCTCTTATTCCCTCTCACCCACTCTCTCACGCTCCCATTCCCTCTCACCCACTGTCATACCCTCTCATTCCCTCTCACCCACTCTCTTACGCTCTCATTCCCTCTCACCCACTCTCATACACTCTCATTCCCTCTAACCCACTCTCATACGCTCTCATTCCCTCTCAACCACTCTCATACGCTCTCATTCCCTCTCGCCCACTCTCATACGCTCTCATTCCCTCTCACCCACTCTCATACGCTCTCATTCCCTCTCACCCACTCTCATACGCACTCATTCCCTCTCTCCCACTCTCATACGCTCTCATTCCCTCCCACCCACACTCATACGCTCTCATTCCCTCTCACCCACTCTCATACCCTCTCATTCCCTCTCACCCACTCTCTTACGCCCTCATTCCCTCTCACCCACTCTCATATGCTCTCATTCCCTCCCACCCACACTCATACGCTCTCATTCCCTCTCACCCACTCTCATACCCTCTCATTCCCTCTCACCCACTCTTTTACGCTCTCATTCCCTCTCACCCACTCTCATACACTCTCATTCCCTCTAACCCACTCTCATACGCTCTCATTCCCTCTCACCCACTCTCATACGCTCTCATTCCCTCTCGCCCACTCTCATACGCTCTCATTCCCTCTCACCCACTCTCATACGCTCTCATTCCCTCTCACCCACTCTCATACGCTCTCATTCCCTCTCACCCACTCTCATACGCTCTCATTCCCTCCCACCCACACTCATACGCTCTCATTCCCTCTCACCCACTCTCATACCCTCTCATTCCCTCTCACCCACTCTCTTACGCTCTCATTCCCTCTCACCCACTCTCATATGCTCTCATTCCCTCTAACCAACTCTCATACGCTCTCATTCCCTCTCACCCACTCTCATACGCTCTCATTCCCTCTCGCCACTTCTCATACGCTCTCATTCCCTCTCACCCACTCTCATACGCTCTCATTCCCTCTCACCCACTCTCATACGCTCTCATTCCCTCTCACCCACACTCATACGCTCTCATTCCCTCTCACCCACTCTCTCACGCTCTTATTCCCTCTCACCCACTCTCTCACGCTCCCATTCCCTCTCACCCACTGTCATACCCTCTCATTCCCTCTCACCCACTCTCTTACGCTCTCATTCCCTCTCACCCACTCTCATACACTCTCATTCCCTCTAACCCACTCTCATACGCTCTCATTCCCTCTCAACCACTCTCATACGCTCTCATTCCCTCTCGCCCACTCTCATACGCTCTCATTCCCTCTCACCCACTCTCATACGCTCTCATTCCCTCTCACCCACTCTCATACGCTCTCATTCCCTCTCTCCCACTCTCATACGCTCTCATTACCTCTCACCCACACTCATACGCTCTCATTCCCTCTCACCCACTCTCATACCCTCTCATTCCATCTCACCCACTCTCATACGCTCTCATTCCCTCTCACCCACTCTCATATGCTCTCATTCCCTCTAACCCACTCTCATACGCTCTTATTCCCTCTCACCCACTCTCATACGCTCTCATTCCCTCTCGCCCACTCTCATACGCTCTCATTCCCTCTCACCCACTCTCATACGCTCTCATTCCCTCTCACCCAATCTCATACGCTCTCATTCCCTCTCACCCACTCTCATCCGCTCTCATTTCCTCTCACCCACTCTCTCACGCTCTCATTCCCTCTCACCCACTCTCATACGCTCTCCGTCCCTCTCACCCACTCTCATACCCTCTCATTCCCTCTCACCCACACTCATACGCTCTCATTCCCTCTCACCTACTCTCATACGCTCTCATTCCCTCTCACCCACTCTCATACGCTCTCATTCCCTCCCACCCAATCTCATACGCTCTCATTCCCTCTCTCCCACTCTCATACGCTCTCATTCCCTCCCACCCACACTCATACGCTATCATTCCCTCTCACCCACTCTCACACCCTCTCATTCCCTCTCACCCACTCTCTTACGCTCTCATTCCCTCTCACCCACTCTCATATGCTCTCATTCCCTCTAACCCACTCTCATACGCTCTCATTCCCTCTCACCCACTCTCATACGCTCTCATTCCCTCTCGCCCACTCTCATATGCTCTCATTCCCTCTCACCCACTCTCATACGCTCTCATTCCCTCTCACCCACTCTCATACGCTCTCATTCCCTCTCACCCACTCTCATACGCTCTCATTTCCTCTCACCCACTCTCTCACGCTCTCATTCCCTCTCACCCACTCTCATACGCTCTCCGTCCCTCTCACCCACTCTCATACCCTCTCATTCCCTCTCACCCACACTCATACGCTCTCATTCCCTCTCACCTACTCTCATACGCTCTCATTCCCTCTCACCCACTCTCATACGCTCTCATTCCCTCCCACCCAATCTCATACGCTCTCATTCCCTCTCACCCACTCTCATACGCTCTCATTCCCTCTCACCCACTCTCATACGCTCTCATTCCCTCTCACCCACACTCATACGCTCTTATTCCCTCTCACCCACTCTCATACGCTCTCATTCCCTCCCACCCACACTCAGACGCTCTCATTCCCTCTCAACCACTCTCATACCCTCTCATTCCCTCTCACCCACTCTCATACGCTCTCATTTCCTCTAACCCACTCTCATACGCTCTCATTCCCTCTCACCCACGCTCAGACGCTCTCATTCCCTCTCGCCCACTCTCATACGCTCTCATTCCCTCTCACCCTCTCTCATATGCTCTCATTCCCTCTCACCCACTCTCATACGCTCTCATTCCCTCTCACCCACTCTCATACGTTCTCATTTCCTCTCACTCGCTCTCTCACGCTCTCATTCCCTCTCACCCACTCTCATACGTTCTCCGTCCCTCTCACCCACTCTCATACCCTCTCATTCCCTCTCACCCACACTCATACGCTCTCATTCCCTCTCACCCACACTCATACGCTCTCATTCCCTCTCACCCACTCTCATACCCTCTCATTCCCTCTCACCCACTCTTTTTGTTGTGTGATGCAACCATATGCATTCACGTCTGTCTGCCTCCCATCATGTGTTTGTGCGTTGCATGCGTAGTGTGAGCGTGTGCAAGAAATTTGTGTCTTGTGTGGTTTGGATTTTCTCTCTCTGTGTGTGTGTATGTTATTTGGCTTGAGCAGTTATCTGAAGTGATTCCTCTACTCAAAAGCTTTCTGACAAACCAAGAATCGTCGCGATCAGAGCACAACCAAGAAAGTTACGAACATTGGAATTCGTATGCTTATATATTTTGGTTGCAGCTACTTTGGGAAGTTGTGGCATTGACTCAATATGGGGTACAGACTTGTGGGGGTTGGAAAATTCGAACCCATCAGTGTAGATGCTGCCAAGAGGTTGGGTGAAGCCAAACCAGGTTGGTAAGTGTGGCCAAGTTGTGGTGACGTGGATGGCATGGGTTGGAAAGTGACAAAGGTCAAAGTTTGTTGCCTATGGGGAAGGGAATTGTGTGGCATGGGGTTTCCTTGGTTGAGGACTCTCTCTTGGGACCTTCCCTCTCGTCCTCCTCTTCCCCTCCTACCAGGTTTAGTGCTACTCTAATATTCTTTTGTGGGACTTGTGAGTTAATTGTGATCGAGTTAAATTTCTGTGGCAGCATACCCCCTAGTGCGCCGAAACACATAACTCAAGATATTCTCCATATTTTGATACGATTCAAATTGGGAAATGTAGCCACGTTCTAGTGCTACAACATATTCACATTTCGTGGGATTCTAACAGTGCACGTTTCGTCGACAACGTTTCTTGTGAAGTCGACGTTTCTGTCTAGAAATTGAGACTAACGATTTTGAGAAATTTGGGCACCTAATCTTCATAGACTCCGTCCTTAGTCTCTAACACTTTTACGCTCTCATTCTCTCTCACCCACTCTCATACGCTCTCATTCCGTCTAACCCACTCTCATACGCTCTCATTCCCTCTCACCCACTCTCATACACTCTCATTCCCTGTCACCCACTCTCATACGCTCTCATTCCCTCTCACCCACTCTCATACGCTCTCATTCCCTCTCACCCACTCTCATACGCTCTCATTCCCTCTCACCCACTCTCATACGCTCTCATTCCCTCTCACCCACTCTCATACGCTCTCATTCCCTCTCACCCACCCTCATACGCTCTCATTCCCTCTCACCCACTCTCATACGCTCTCATTCCCTCTCACCCACTCTCATACACTCTCATTCCCTCTCACCCACACTTATACGCTCTCATTCCCTCTCACCCACTCTCATACCCTCTCATTCCCTCTCACCCACTCTCTTACGCTCTCATTCCCTCTCACCCACTCTCATACGCTCTCATTCCCTCTAACCCACTCTCATACGCTCTCATTCCCTCTCACCCACTCTCATACGCTCTCATTCCCTCTCACCCACCCTCATACGCTCTCATTCCCTCTCACCCACTCTCATACGCTCTCATTCCCTCTCACCCACTCTCATACACTCTCATTCCCTCTCACCCACACTTATACGCTCTCATTCCCTCTCACCCACTCTCATACCCTCTCATTCCCTCTCACCCACTCTCTTACGCTCTCATTCCCTCTCACCCACTCTCATACGCTCTCATTCCCTCTAACCCACTCTCATACGCTCTCATTCCCTCTCACCCACTCTCATACGCTCTCATTCCCTCTCACCCACTCTCATACGCTCTCATTCCCTCTCACACACTCTCATACGCTCTCATTCCCTCTCACCCACACTCATACGCTCTCATTCCCTCTCACCCACTCTCATACCCTCTCATTCCCTCTCACCCACTCTCTTACGCTCTCATTCCCTCTCACCCACTCTCATATGCTCTCATGCCCTCCCACCCACACTCATACGCTCTCATTCCCTCTCACCCACTCTCATACCCTCTCATTCCCTCTCACCCACTCTCTTACGCTCTCATTCCCTCTCACCCACTCTCATACACTCTCATTCCCTCTAACCCACTCTCATACGCTCTCATTCCCTCTCACCCTCTCTCATACGCTCTCATTCCCTCTCGCCCACTCTCATACGCTCTCATTCCCTCTCACCCACTCTCATACGCTCTCATTCCCTCTCACCCACTCTCATACGCTCTCATTCCCTCTCACCCACTCTCATACGCTCTTATTCCCTCTCACCCACACTCATACGCTCTCATTCCCTATCACCCACTCTCATACCCTCTCATTCCCTCTCACCCTCTCTCTTACCCTCTCATTCCCTCTCACCCACTCTCATACGCTCTCATTCCCTCCCACCCACACTCACACGCTCTCATTCCCTCTCACCCACTCTCATACCCTCTCATTCCCTCTAACCCACTCTCATACGCTCTCATTCCCTCTCACCCACTCTCATACGCTCTCATTCCCTCCCACCCACACTCATACGCTCTCATTCTCTCTCACCCACTCTCATACGCTCTCATTCCATCCCACCCACTCTCTTACGCTCTCATTCCCTCTCACCCACTCTCATACACTCTCATTCCCTCTAACCCACTCTCATACGCTCTCATTCCCTCTCACCCACTCTCATACGCTCTCATTCCCTCCCACCCACACTCATACGCTCTCATTCCCTCTCACCTGCGGAGATTCACTCTACAACGGTAGTGAGCTAAACTACAGGGTTGGCACGAACTACTAGAGGTGATCGTATCTTTGCTTGGTTCCTTAGTGCTTGCACATTCACGGGAGAAATTGGCAAGAGTTTCCACTAGCAAAGTTGAGAATCCCAGAATAATGCAAGAAGCAAAGACAACAATGACTACATCAGGCACCTAGCAACCCTGCAGCTAGCCTGGTCGACCGCCAGCGCAGCTCGGTCGACCGCCTGCCAGCGTTGCGTAGAGGAGCCGCGCCAGCACTGCAGAAGGGCGACCTGCCAACAAAGCAGGTCGACGGCGTGCCCCGTAGAACACAGCAGTGCGCGCGCTCGCACGTGTGCGCAGACGATTGGCCTGTCTTGCCTCGTTGGGCATCTGTCGGCTGTTGTCTGCGCCTGACGAGCAACATCGACTTTAGGATACCAGCCCAAAGTCGCCTGCTCCATCGCGATCTCGACGACGTTCGCGAGCCTCCGCAGAACTCGTCGAGCAGGTTACCCGGTCGACTTGGTCGACTCCTGGTACTCTGGTCGACCCCCACGTGCCTCCGGTCTACCACTGGGTCCCTCTGGTCGACCACCAGGCGCTCCTGGTCGACCACAACTCCCGTCGAGCTACCCCCTGGTCGGCAGACCCCTTCTGTCGACCAGAACTGCTCTGTCGACTTCCCTGTCGAACTGCAGGTCGACGGACTGCTTCGTCGACCTCCCTGACGGCCCACCCGTCGCACAGACCAGTCAGTTGCAGCTGTCGAGCTCCTTGGTCGACAGCAACACCACAGCGGTCCGCTGCAGCTCGACGTACCCTGTCGAGCAGCTATCCCACTGTGAACAATCGGCTGCTACTCCCGTGCATCCGACCAAGTCGTCGGCGTTGCCCAAGCGAGGGCAGGGCCAACACTCCATTCCTGTTAACACTCCCCTGTCGCGCTCACGCTTGGGCCTCCAGCCCACACGGCAGTACTCCACAGAGAAAACTCGTCCTCGGCGTGCACCCCACACACAGCACACCGTCACCGCACCAGCCGTGCAGAAGGGCACGGCACCTACTGCTGCACCTCGTCGTCGCCGTCGCCGATGTCGACCAGGCGAACTTGGCCGATGGCGATAGAGCACCGGTTGAAAGCCGGAAAATGCAGCGCCTTTGTCAGGAAGTCCACCGGCTGCTCGGTGGTAGGGATGTAGTTCAGCACAAATTTCCCGCGCCTCACCATGTGCTGCAGCCAGGCGTAGCGTCGCTCCATGTGCTTGAGGTAGCCCGTCAGCCCCAAGCCCTCAGCGACCGTGATTGCCGACTTGTTGTTGACGCGGAGGATGGTCGGCTTCCCAGCGTCGAGCAGCTTGAATTCCGCAAGGAGGAAGCAAAGTGGACGCCCCTCTTTGCCGGCGTCTGTTGCCGCCACGTACTCCGACTCGGTCGATGAGAATGTCGCGCACTTGATGCGCGAGCTCGACAAGGAGACTGCGGCCCCTCCGTAGACGAACACGTAGCCTCCCGTGCTCGTCCGGTTCTACTTGTCGCCCGCGTCGTCGGCATCGACGTAGCGGATCAGCTCCAACGATTCTGGTCCACCGCCAAACTCCAGGGCAGTGTCGCTGGTGTCGGCGAGGTAGGCGAGACAATGGTCGACCTCGCGCCAATGCTGGTCGCTCCTCACCGTGAGGCCGCTCCCCAGCTTGCTCCAGGCGAACGCGATGTCCGGCCTGGTCGTCGTCGCCGCAAATTGCAGCGAGCCTACCTTCTGCTGGTACTCCTCCTCCTCGCGCTCTTGAGCCTCCTCGTCGTCGAACGTCAGCTGAGCGTAGGCGTCAACCAAGACTGGCGTCTTCGGGACTCGACCGCCCTGCTCCTCGTCGATGAAGCGCCTGCGCACCTTGTCGGCGTAGCCCTGCTGGTGCAGCCACAGCTTCCTGGCCGGCCTGTCGCACAAGATCTCCAGCCCAAGGTACTTCACCACTGGGGAGATCTCACGGAGCTCAAAGTCGGCCTCCAGCAGCTCTTTCAGCTCCTTCAGCATCGCGGTGCTGCTGCTAGCGGCAAGCAGGTTGTCGACGTAGACCAGCACCCAGCAGGTCACTCCGTCGTCTCCGACCTTGAAGTAGAGTGCCTCGTCGACCTGGCTCTTCTTCCAGCCAGCGCCCAGCAGCACACCGTCGAGAGCCCTGTACCACAGCAGCGGCGACTGCTTCAGCCCGTAGAGGCTCTTCAGCAGCTTACACACCCGGCCGGTCCCGTCGTTGAAATAGTCCGGCTGGTACATGTAGAGCACCCTGTCAAGCTTGCTCTGCAGGAAAGCGTTCTTCATGTCGAGCTGCATCAGGTTGAGATCGAGGACGGCGACTATGCTGAGGAAGATCCTCAGCGTGACGTAGCTGCTCACCGGGGAGTACGTCTCGTCGTAGTCAGCGCCGTACACCTGCGTGAAGCCCTTCACGACTAGCCTCGCCTTCTCGCGCTCGACGGTGTCGTTGATGCGGTACTTGGTCGTCAGCACCCATCGGTTTTTCATAATGTTCACCCCGCGTGGGCGTTTGACCAGCTCCCAAGTCCCCATAGCGATGAGGCTACGGATTTCTTCTTCCATGGCGGCCTTCACTGCCTCGCCCTTCCAGCTCGACAACGCCTCCTTCACCGTCATCGTGGCGATGTCCCAGCGGTGTTCGGGGTCAGCATGCACGTCAGGGTCGAGCTCCAGCAGATCTTCATCCTCCTCGGCATCGTCGTACAGCAGGTCGTCGTCGACCTCGTCGTACACCGTGGTGAAGGCAGCTGGCGGTAGGCAGGCATGTAAGCACAACCGCTCCGGCGGCCGTCGAGCTCGACCTGTACGTCGCAGCTCGGGCTTCGTGATCGGCACTTCCATTACATCACTATCGGTAGACTCACCCGCCGACAGCTCCCCTTTCTCGTCAACGAGAATGTCGTCGACCCGCTGCTTCGACCCTTCAACCGGCTGTTCCTCTGCTGCTGCCTTCGACAACTCTCCTGTCGACCGCTCCGGCTGCCGCTCCCCTGTCGAGTATCCCCCTGCCGATGCCTCCTGTTCGACCGGCTCCCGTGTCTGGTACTCCCCTGTCGTCGACGGCTTCCCATCGTAGTCGACGAGCTTGGCGCCTTGTCGTCCACCGGCGATGCCACTGGCCGGCGCCACAGGCGATGCCTCAAGGCTCCCCTCATCGTTGGTGGCCGACACAGGTGTCGACGCAGGAAGATCGGCGACGGGAGAGGGAGGAGCAAGGACAGGGGAAAGTGGAGGAACCTCCACAACATCTTCATCAGCAGGCTCGTCGACTTCGGCGAGCAGGGGAACCGTCGCCGTCGAGGTGTCCGTAGGCGAGTGTACCTGCGTCCGCCCCGATGCCGGCCCATACTTCGCCTTCCACACCTCCAGCGACAGCGTCTCGTAGAAGATCACCTCGACCGACGTGACCACCTTGCTGTCTGTCAGGTCGAGCATCTCCCAGCCCTTACTCTCCGACGACACACCCAGGTGAAGTCCCCAGCGAGCCTTCGGAGCCAGCTTCCCACCGCGCTGCTGCTCGGGAACCATAAACTGCACCATGCAGCCCCACACCCGCGCCAGCGTAAGGTCGGGCTTCTGCCCGGTCAACAGTTGGTACGGAGTCGTTCCCGGTGGCGTCGTCGATCGCTCCAAGCAGTTGCGCACCCAGACCGCTTGTCGTAGAGCAAGGTGCCACCAGTGGTGCTGCACGCCCATGTGCAGCAGCATCGTCCGCACGGACTCGACGACCGTGCGCATCTCCCGCTTAGCCATGCCATTCTGCTGCGGAGTGTAGGGGCACGTCAGGTCGTGGACGATGCCCTTCCCATCGACGAAGTCGGTGAACGCCTTCCCGAGGAACTCCCCTCCTCGATCGGAGCGAAGCGACAGCACCGACTTCTTCGTCTGCCGTTCCACTAGCGCCAGCCACCGCTGAAACTCCCGCAGCACGTCGCTCTTCCTAGCGACCGGCATTGTCCATACAAATTGAGTATGGCGATCCTTCAGCAGCAGGAAGTACAAGCTGCCATCCTTGGCTGCTACTCGAAATGGCCCGCACAAGTCAATGTGCACGACAGCCAGTGCCTCCGCTGCGTCCGAGCCCTTGGCAGGGAAGGTGTGCCGCGCCAGCTTTCCTCCAACGCACGAGACACACGGCGGGTCTCCTCCGGTCGACAACGTGATGTCGAGCCCAGTAGCAACATCATGCTTCGCCGAGCTCTTGATCGTGTCGACGCTGACGTGTGCGAGCCGCGCATGCATCCTGTCGGGGGTCGTCTTCGTCGCGGAGATGATCGTCCGCAGAGCCACCACCTCGGTCGACGGCGACTGCGTCGAGCAGGGGCAAAGGTCGGTGCAGAGTATCCGTCTGGTGTAGCGTGCTCGACCGAGCACCGCCCCAGTCGCGGCGACGAGCATCATCTCATCGCCATCGCCCTGCAACAGCACTCCACTCTCCTTCACCTGGCCAGCAGATAACAGGTTTGCCTGTACGCCCGGAACGTAGAGTACGTCGGGGATGAGGACCCGCTTCCCGGCCTCCCCTTGCAGAGCAACGGTTCCGCGACCCTCGACAGGCTGCAATGCCCCGTTGAACCGATGCACGTGCTTCACCCCGTCGCTCGGCCCCATTTTGACGAAGACCGACTTCGTCCCCATCCGGTGGTGGGAGCACCCGCTGTCGAGCAGCACCGCCATCGGGTTGGCCTGCACAGCTGCCGCCACTGCTTGGAAGTCCTCGCCAGCGAGACCGTCGGCTCCACCACGCCGACCATCGAGCACGACGCCTCCCCGTCGCCTCGGCTCTTGCCGCTGGAGCTGTCGACGTCTTTCGTCGACGACGTCTTCTTCGACGCTTGCTTCTCCTTGCGGGGCTTCTCTACTCGACGCGGGCGACGACTGGCCGATCGTCCGCGGCCTCCCTTGTTGTCGTCCTCGTCACTGTCATCGCGGTCGGGGCACTCGAAGGAGAGATGGTCAGGGTCGCCGCAGATCCAGCACTCCCGCCGTCGACCACCACCTCGTTGACCCTTGTCCCGC